AAGGCAGAACCCCAAACTCATTTTGGACGCCAAATTACTGAACCTCTCATTCCTCCATGTAAATGTGAAGGTCTTACAGTGCAAAGGATACTTTTATACAAAAGCTCTGATATAACCCATAGTCTTGAATCAAGAGTGCATCTTACTAGGTCTTTCTTCTAAGTGATAATGATAAGTATTGCTCAAGTCTTTCTGTTTCCCCTTTTAGTAAACACACTGAGCTATGGGGGCTGCTGGCTGCTCCCCACTGCCCCCAGCACCTGAAGTCCGGTCCAGACTCTCCTTCCAGACCAGCCAGCTGGCACCCTCTGAACCCAGAAAGGAGAATGTTCTCGGCCTCACCCAGGGCTGATCAGCACACATTCCAAGCCTGTTTCGTCAACTCTGCAATTAGCTTTCCTTCCAAACATGACCCTCTAGAACCCTGAGACATAAGAAAATAACGATTTGACCACGTGCTTTTCTCCATATAGTTAAGCCAACACATTTCTCCCCAACATGCAACAAACCACTATGCATGCTCATGAAGACACTGAAGCACATGTAATCTCCAACTTTCCCAAGACTGATAATATTTTAAAGTTTAAAATACTAAAATGAGCTGTAGGTCTCCAAAAGAATTCCATGATAATGACAACAGAAATCCCTGACACTGTAACAATGTGAGCTCCAGAATCTGTCTTCAAATCTGATTCCTTGGAAAAAGGAAAAGCTAGCAGATAATTGACTATTGTGTTCATAAAAAGTGTGGCCCCAGCCGGGCGGTGGTGGCTCACGTCTTTAATCCCAGCACTCCTTTAATCCCAGCACTCAGGAGGCAGAGGCAGGCGGATCTCTGTGAGTTCGAGGCCGGGCTGGGCCGACAGCCTCCAAAACAATACAGAGAAACCCTGTCTCGTAAAACAAAACAAAGCAAAAAAAAAAAAAAAAAAAAAAAAAAGTGTGGCCCCAAGGAGTGAAGGCGAATAGGATTTGGGATAATCTGACTAACTGAAGAGTTACAGCGATTTTGACCTTTAAATCAGAAGGGAAGACTGAAGATCGTCAACCAGTTGCCAGAGAATACATTCTGGGAGATCTGTTGAAAAAGCTAGCAAGTAATAATAGTTTCCAGGCACTTGTTCCATATTATCTCATGTAAAACAGTCCACCACTGCAGGTAGTCACTGCAGAAAAATGATTTTCCTATTTGTATCACCCATAAAAGCAAAAATGCAGAAGTATTAAATAAAATGACACAAATGTGGCGTGGAATTTGGCTACGAGCAGTCTGTGTGAATAGCTGCATGCCCAGAAGGATTCATGCTCTCATCAGACCCCTGTAAGGAAAACCCAAAAAGGTCCTCTGCGGGGCTTTCTACAAGGACCCCAATCCTGAAGAGCATGAACAGATGAATGACAACCAAGGGCACATGTTCTCAGAAAGTGCCTCCATCTGGTGTGTGCTGAGACAGAGAATAGGAGCCACAGTGGAGACGGGCTAATCCTGCTGGCTCCCTGGGAAGTATTATTGTCTCCTATTCTCCATAACTCCTCGCACATTTTGACAAGAAGACCATACGCTTTCGGACCATAACACCCTTTTCCTTGCTCTCATTACAGACAAAGAGTGTGGATTTGGGTGAGTGGAAAAGTGAGGGGTATCTGGGAGGAGTTAGCAGAGGAAAAACCATAATCAGAATATTTTTGTATGAAAAAAATTATTTTCAGTTAAAAAGATTCTTTAAAAAAGAAAAGAGGGCTGAGATTCTCACATGATAGGAGTTTGGCTATCTTGTGTGTTTGGAATCTGTGGATGGTTTAAAAGAGGTGCATGCAGATGAAGGCTATGGAGAGAGCTTGAAACACCACCTGTCCATGTTTGAGTTTCAAACGAAAAGTCTATTGTGAACTTAGCAGTCAGGACAATAGCCAGCATCAGGGTTGCCTCCTTCATACTGCCTGGGGCTGCCACTTTAGTGTGCCATCTTCGGGTGTGCCAAGGAAGTAGCATTCAGTACATGAGGATATTTAGGAACCAGGTACTTCCTTTCTGCTTGAAAGTTGGGTCTCGAGAAGGATTCTCTAAGCAACACAAGATCACACTGGATAACAACATATATGTCTGTAAAGTTCTGTGGCAGACTCATCCCTTCCCCCCTCTGTAGACTAAAATCAAGTACTGGAGAGTTTGAGGGGAAGGCTAAGAACAAAATAAATGTGTTCTAAATCCAAGGGAAGGTGGAAATTCATTTACAACTTTCCATGTCTAATCTAGAATTTCCCTCCTCTTTGCCAGTTAATGGCTCACTGTAACTGCTCTTAATGATGTGTCACAATGTTCATTTTTTTTATATATAGCATGAAAATTTTACTAAATCAGGCACTTGATAATACCTACGAGCACATGGAAACAATAATTTGTTCGAAAACACAATGTTGTCTTTTAAGTTAATTTGAACCTACAGAGCATTTGGATGTTTAAAGAGGAAATTTGAAAACGATACAGTTTACTTCAATCACATAACTATGTAACCTTAGGAAAATAACTTAAATATCTCAAGCTCTTTGCTGTACTCAGGGTCTGATGAGATAATATGAGTGGAGGGTCTCTTGCAGAGCTATGAAAGTACATCACTCTTGCCTGGTGACTGATCTCTGTTGGCAGAAATGAATTGAAATGGACAATTCAGTGTAGGGGAAATACTTTCCCCAGAGCTGCCTAGATACTTTACACTTCTAGTTGGCATCTACTTTGGATGAAAAAGCTGAAAGGTAGGAACTCTTAATGCCCTTGCAAGATCATTATTATAAAGTGACTCACAAACTAAGCATTACTAAGTGTGAGTTAGGTTTTTGGATGATAATGTAATTTTGTAAATAACAAAGCCAAGTCAAGTAAACACACTGAAAGTTATACGAGTGTTTTTAACGTATTCCACTACAGTGAGAACAGGAAAGAAACCAGCTGGGCATAAAGCCGATAATTGCTATGATTAATGCTATTTCTAAACTCGACTTCTTTAAAAATAAATCGCTTCATAATTTAATTAGCTTTCTTTCCATCTAGAGAAAAAGTGCTAATAAAAGCTCAGATAAGAGAATGTAGGTTTGGACATAATTGTAGGGCTTAATTTTTTATCTATGGTTCAGCTCAAAGTCAGCAGAATGACTTTTATATCAAAGAGCTTCAGTGAGTGACAAGAGCAAGACTTGCTTTGTACTGTTTAAAAGTCATTATTCCATGAAACAACTTTAGCCTGCCAAGATGAGAAAGAATAACAGATGCTGTTTTTTGCGTTATCTGCATTATTTCCACTAGTCATCCTTAGACATTTGGGTCAAATTTCTAGAAATTAGTTACTTGCATTAGACAGAGGAATCATGTATCCTAACCTCTCTGTTTGACCCTTCTAATTGGCATCCATTATAATACTTTGCTTTGTATGGCAATTATCACACACAAAGTTTTATCTATTTTTATATGCACCAGTGCACAACTCAAGAGTATTTTCAGTGTTTAGATTTTTCATCCCACAGGAGACAAACCCATAAGATGTGATTTTTTTTACTTGTTTTGTCCCTTATGATGCTAAGATTTTGAAGGCTTTTACAACCTTAAAGTAGAACAAGGAAAAGTCATTGCTTTCCATCCAGGATATGAATTTTTAGTGATCCAATATTATTCTTAGCAAAATGAGATGTCTGACTTTTCCCCACAGTGATACAGAATGTTTTTCCCCTTGAATAAGTGAAATGTCACTTTTGGTTGTTCAGTCACAGTAATCATTTTTAAAAACTGTGTTAGTCCTAAACCAGAAATGAAATAAATTGCTTTTGTAATTCTTGAAATTAAAGCTTACAGAGTCTAACAAACACTTTTCATTTATCTTAGGTTGTAGTTTGCTACATTTATGCTATATTTGGTTTACTGCATATAATAATACACACTGTTTATTAAATAGTTACAAGGTACCAAATGCTGCCTGAGCACTTTATATGTGCTATCTCACTAAATTGCCAAGTAGCCACAGTGTTCTTCAAGAGTTATTAATTACTTTAGACGCAAAGGAAAGGAAATTGTAAGAGTTTTGCTTATAGAAACGAGTGGAATTCTGTTTAGATTCCTAAAGGTCTGTAAAGTAAAAGGTCAAGGAGTGTCAGTTGATAACACTCTTAAATTAGACTTTCTATCTACTTTGAAAACTGCAAAAAAGTCAATTATTCTTTTGCTATTAATTAAAGGAGTAGCTTTAAAGAATAACTGCCTTTTAAAATCATTAAGTGTGAATAAGTCTGGTATCATGAAAACCCTATATTACTTTTAACTGTGATACCTATACACTAATACAAATAAACAGAATCTGCAATACTAAAAGCTAAGAAACAAATAATTTGTAAACCGATTGCGAAATGTGTACGTAGTCTGAAGAAATGGTTTGAATTCAAGATTAGTATTAAGTAATTATATCCGATGTGACAAAATACAAGATAGAAATTCCCCTACTTTATCCAGCTCAACTTCTTTATGGGAGGTAAGGGGATTTGTGTCTTGATTTTGTCTCTTACTCAACTTTACATGGAAATATACATTACTTAGACCACATTTGATGTCATGAATAACCTGTAAAATCAAATAAGAACTCTCTATTAAACACTCATACCACCAGATAAACACAAAGTTAAGATGCAACAGAATAGCTCATTGCTGTGACAAGTCTCACCCAGACCTCTCTAGGAAACTAACAATGACAGCCAGCATGCAAAGTCTATTTCCAAGTACTTTCATCTTTTACAGTTTCAAAGGTTCTATGAATTTTCAAATCAGTTCAAATGATTACTCACAGACACATACGAAATTGGTTATACATACATGTAAATTCACCAAAAAAAGTTAAGCTCCTTAAGCAAATTGTCTATCTTATCTACTAATTTTGAAAAAAGAAAAAAAATCACTTCACTTTTGTTACAAATGTAAAATCTCAGAGCGCCTTTAACAAATATAAAGTGGTTCTACTTACACTTGCATGGAGTTTTCCTTTTTTTGACATCGCTAAAAATTTGTTGCTGAAAACTCCTCGTATTCCTACAATCCCCTGAGACACAGCAAATATTTCCAAAATACCTAGGATGACAAAAATCCCAAAATAAAACACAGACTCTTCTATACAGAACTGTGAAGAATTCAACATCTACATCAACTGTTCTCAGCCTTTACTATTGTGATTAAAGAGAAGAACACTCGGTGACTTCTGTAACATCCACTATGTTAGTGCAAGCATCCGAGCAGACACTCAGAATGACTAATTTCAAGATTCAGAAATTTGACTCGGCTTCCTCAATATTCTCTATTTGCACATGGTAGATGGCTTTTAGTAAATAGTGTTTGGCATTAGAATCTTTTCAAATCGCAAATATACTGGAAGATATTTTTAAAATATGTTTTAAATTTAATCCTTATTTGTTACTATTCCACCAAAAATGATCTACTTTTAGTATTAGATCATGAATCTGACCTCAAAGCTTGTATAAAAAATTTCAAAAGCCTGGAAAATTATACTTTCTTACATGAGACAAATCCCTCTCTTTCAATCATCACAATTTGAGAACTTAAATAAATATATGCCATATTGAATCCTATAAAAAACATAAAACTACCCTTAAGATACTGAAAACACTATAAATTATTATTACTTCCATGAATTGCTTGATGAATTATGTTTTGAAAAAAATTAGATTTAAGTCATTTCCTAGAAAAATGTAATGATCTGTATATAACATTATTAATGTATAATGCAGTCTGTACCAATGCAGCATCTCTTCATCCCCACAGTCATTTCAAGAACCATGTGTGCTGAGTCAAGAAAGTGTTTACTGTAATTCATGGACTGTATAATATTAAATGTATATTCTGCCTATAGTTAGACAGCCTTCCTGTTACTAACAATAAAGCCTCAAAAATTTTATAGGAATATGAGTAAGGATAATATTCTTGCTAGTTAGACATATGCAATTGTAAATATATATATATATATATATATATATACATGAATATGGTAATATAGTTCATTAGAGCTGAGAAAAAACAAAGAAGCCTTGGAGGAGGGAAAAGCACATCTCAGCACTTGACCACAAAGGTTTCAAGCATACACAACTAGGGCATCTCAGAAGAACTCTGCTGAGGTGATACCCCTTCACTTTTACTCGAAATAGAAATCCCCCCTACAGCACTTGAGGTATGTGCAAAATTTACTAACAAGGACTATAAATGCATGGAGATGAATCAATTTATTGAGGACTTAAGTCTTACAACACAAGCTGAGCACCTGCCATTGTCACAAGCATTGCTGCTTGCTTTCTCAACTTGGTTTGTTCAAAATACTTAGAAAATACCACAGGAAAAAAAAGGAATACCTGGGGGGGGCTACTTTTGTTATTATTGTTTTGAAGTCTTAGCCCAGAGTAAGAAAACCATCTTAGAAAAACTTCAGGTGCCAACTTAAGTAGTGTTTCTTCTCATGAGAATGTTAAGATACACTCAACAAAGAGCTATTTTTTGCTTATGTAAGAGAGTGTTAACAAACACCAGTGTCCTGTATATTGTTTCCTTTAAAATGTTTCTAAAGTGTAATTTGTGTAGAATTTAAAATATAAACATTGTTTGTGATACCCAAAGAATTAGAAGCATCGTCATTTTACCAGGGAATGCGTTGTGAAGTTACATACATCAGTTTATATGGAGTATAATAAGTACATACATGGTGTATTTAACTTTTAAAACTTACAGTGCACTTCACATGTAGAATATTGAGCTTTCTAAAACTAAATTATAAAGATGTAGTATAATATTATTAAAATAAGACTGTATTTGAATTAGAATTAAAGAGTAATGCTGACAGCATCAATAACAAGTTCAAATGTTCAGTTGATTGGGGATGAAATTGTAATCACTGCATAAACATACTTAAACAAGAACATATGCATGAAGAGACCGTCACAGGAGATCTTTGTACAATGATTGACATAACAGCTACAATGGGATTGAAAGATAAAGTCTTGATAGTTTTTCTCCAGTATTCTCATAGCTCTACATTGTTACAGGTGGCTTTAACTCACACATTTATGCACACCCCCAAGAAACAGCTTTCTAAGGTTTTTTGTTTTTTTTTTAATTCAGTATTTTCTATAGCCTAATTATTAGGAATCCTTGACAACAAATGGAAAGGTAATTTCTGATCACCTTATGAATGTGCTCAGCTTTATAAATGTAAATTTGTCACATATCAATGAAAAATATATGGCAGTATCAAAGATCAAATTCTTATGTTTGCAGTCTGACTTTTGAGATGTTGAGAGTAGATGGTTTTATAGACATTTACTTGGTTAAAAAGCAAACAAACAAACAAACAAAACACCCATGACTTTGTTTGATTAAATTACTGCTTTCTGAGCGTTTATTCTTCTTTTGTATCATTTAGCTTGTATCTCAACACACTATATGTGCTTATTATATATGTTCTCATTACAATTAATTTTAAATATGGGGAGATGATGAAATAATGCCTATAAAAATGCTATTTTATTATACATTGCCTGCTTTGTCTGATAAATTCTATTATAAAAATTGTGTGTTGCCAGACAATGGAAAAGACTATATAATTTTAAGATTTCATGTGTCTGAAAGCTTTATACATCTGTGCATGTATGTATATATGTATATGTATGTATGCATGTGTGCATGTGAGAACTGTTTCTCATACAGGCAACTTTGGAGGTGATCTTTTAAATCTGAATATAATTTTGATCTAATATTGCAATCATTGCTAATATCAGAATTTCTGAACTAATGTCAATGATGATTTCACTGTGTCTTATTTTCTAGAATACTGGTGTAATTCTACACAACTCACAATGGGTTTTCTGTTCTTCTTCCAAGAGAGCACCAGCTATCTATGTTATGTACTGTACATTGCAAATCTCAGTACCTCATTGGAGATTCTAGGAAATGCTTTAAACATATGTATATTATACCATGAACTAATGCATCCTAAGAAACATTTCTCTAAAGCTGACTTTGAAAAAGTCAGTATTGTCTGTACCCTCATCTTTAGGAGTTGGTGATAATAAACTTGAAGAAAATTTCTTGTTCAGCCTGTGGACGTCAAAACAGTTTCCTTAAAACTGTGGAAGGCAGTTCTCTCACAGACCAGGCAGTGACTGTCTGTAATGTTGCACTGCTGTAGAAAACACCACCCCCACCCAATATAGGGACATTTGTTTTGAGTTGCTCTTATTACTGTGTCTGTCTCCTGTTTGAGGATGGGTAAAGACAACTTATGGACAATAATTCATACTCAGGTTTTGAAGATGGTGTGCTATTTTTCCCAAGATATTTAAGTTAAGAAGAGAGAGAGAGAACACTTTCTCAATAAAATGTCAGGATTGATACCAAGGTTGAAGGAGTCAAAATATTTTTGGTGTCTCTACCATTGATCTTTAATCTCCTTTTTCAAAGGATAATGATTCTTTATGAATAACTTTACTTGAGTAGGAAAACACATACATAGCTTCCTTTCTTGTTCTTCTTTAGATCTCTTAGTATCAGAAGGCTCTGTTGATGGTGGGGGACTTGGAGAATAAGAGCTAGAACAACACAGATATCAAATGTATTCAGAAGCTTTCAATAACATTTGAAAATTCCCAAAGAAAAATATGGCGACACTGAAGTTTCTCTACTTTCATCCATGGCAACAGATTTCTATGCCAAGTTATCAAAACTTAGTCTTCAATGATCCAATTTAGCACAGTCTTTGCTGATTAAATTAGTAACAGAATTTCCCTGCACAGTAAATTCTGATTTCTCCAACCCCGGGAAATGTCTTATGACTCTGTGACACCAAAATGGATAGGCGAGTCAGATTCTCAAAACAAAATGTAAAAGTGAGGACTTGCTTAAGCCAAAATGCAAATGAAATTTTCACATTTTGTGTGATTGCTTTGTGTAGCTGTCGCCTAAAGTTTTCTCCTCTGAACTTATACTAATTTATAGATTCAATGGAACAAGATACATCAACCAAGAGGACTATATTGAAGCTAAACTTGACAGGTTCTAAGTTAAAGCAACTGCTCCTTTCTCTTCAAGGTTAGAGCTCATAGCCGAATCTTCTTCATTCTTAATCCTTCCCCAGTATTTCCTTCCTGTAGGCAATGAGCTAGACACCAAATTCTAGTATGGTGCTCTCCTGAATGAGGTAAACCAGGGCCTTACTAACTGATGCACTTGAAGGAATGTTTCAATACCGATGGCTAGAGCATGATTTTGATAGTAAAACTAAACAAACCTTCACAATTGACAAGTATATTTATTATTGAGAAAAAACTTGACATTTCACCTGACCAAAATAAAGTTTCATTGTGGCATCTTAAAGAACCTTTTATACTGAGGTTTTATTGCAATGTTCTAGCGGTCTCTCTTATGAAACACAAACAAACGTTTCCACATATATTGTAAGTCATGGTCCAAGGTCAATACCTTAGTTTACACAAATTTCAGGAATCTATCAAGCACTGCCTTCAAAGTATGCTAAATAATCAACAGCAAGTAGCTGCCGCTTTTCTCCCATGACTTCATAAGTGTAAAGAGCCGTGGTAACTTTCCAAATTCCATGCCTTCCCACTTCACATAGAAACATTTAATAGAACATTGTTGGGAACTATGGAGGGCAAGGCCAGAGAAAATGCAAACAGGAAAAGAAAGAGGCACAAGAGTAACCAAAACATAGTATCTCCCAAGGCAGGTGCCCTACATTGGGTACATGAATGAACGAATGAATGAATGAATGGGTGAATGAATGAAAGCCAGTCTTTTGAAACATACAAATTAAACTCTGAATGGCTGTTTAAAATTGGGGGAGGGCTGGGAGTTAGGAAAAAGCTACTTACAAAGTCTCATTAGTTCCTGCTTAGGACACATCTCCGTTGTTTGGTGGTCATCTTTCAATGAGGATGTTAAAATAAGTTGGTCCTTGGCAATAGTGGATAGCTGGATAGTCTTTAGCCTAAATTAGGTCTGTTACTATGTGCTTCCTTTCTTTCATGTGTGTTTTTGCAAACCCCCTTCTAAACAGGCCTAAACTGTAGTCACTTGTAGTTTCTATGTGCTTTTGTAATGCAGAAGGGGACCATCCAAAATTACCTCAGGCACCAGGGATCCCAACCCACCACTTGCTACCTGCTACTTTGGGTCTCTCCTGAGCAAGCAAGGGTTATGTGTAGTTGGTGCCAGTTCTCTGGATAAATTCACAGCAACAAACTAGAGAACGGCTTTCTCTGGGAGCTAGGGGGATTGCTGCAAGTGGAGACTGAGTTTTGGTGTCTCCTGAAAAAGGAGGAGGGTGAGTAGAAATACTGAAACAAAAGTAGCTCTCCATCAGAGCATCAGAAACTCCACCCTTACCAGAACAGACTGTTCCCTTCATCAACAAAGACCAGAGTACTTTCAAAGGTGAAGAGAGGTGGGGTCCATGGAGGAGCCTGCTGGAGCCCTGGGACTCAATGTGATGGGAGCCTAGAGACCTCTCTGTTTTGCTCGCCTCTCCACCTGCACCTCAGCCAGCTGAAAAGGTGCACTCCAAAGACAAAGCAAACAGCCTGTTGACTTGGAACCGCACCTGTCGGGACATCCCTGCCAGATCTCACGCTTCTGATCCTCTTAACTCATTGAAAGAGGCTGGCCAGCCCGCCACCCCACCTGTGCTTCAATCTCCAAACCCTCTCCACAGGCCCCAGCCGACAGTCAGCCCAACAAATAAAGCCCGCGGTTTTTGGAGCTGAATAAACACAAACGTTCTAGTCTCTGGGGGACACTGGTCGGGTGAGGTTTACCTGGGAGCCACCAGGAAGACTAGAGGGGCCAGGTGACTGCACAGCACTATCTCCTGGCCCCATTTCCGTTCTCCCTGGGAGTCTGGGAGGTCCCTGCTGTGGCTTTTATCTGGAGGACTAAGCCCTGCTGGAAAAGCGATCTGAATCTAGCCAAAATACCTATGGACCTCAGAGACAAGCCCAGTTCCCATGCACACAGCCCCAAATCACCGCTGGCTTCAGCGCCTAGGAGCAGGGAGGGGGATGCGAGTGGCAGCTGCGTTGGTCCAGAAAGGCAGATGAAATGGAAGGACGCGGGTGGAGCGGAGGGAACGCGGGGGCAGTGAAAGCAAGGAAGAAAGGAGAAGAGAACTCAGAAAGTGAAATTTCAAGTTGGGTTGTTGTTATTTTAAGTTATGCTCAATTTACAACCATTCCCAACCTCTTCTGTGTTTCTCTTAAAATTAAGAACTTTCCTCTAACTGTCCCTCTGAGTCAAAGGCTAAGAAGGTATTGTCAGGATCTCTCGGTTTACTATAACATTAATAAAACCAACACGGACTCAGTCATACTATCATACTGTCTGCGCAGTTTTCCAGATCGTGATGCCGTCTTGCAAACAGGAGTCTGTTGTCCGTATGTACATACACACTCTACATGGACATGTATAGCTAGTTGTGTGTGTAGTTGTGTGTGTGTGTGCATTCATACGTGTGTGAAATATGCCTATGCGTGTAAAGTTACATTCACATGTTAATATAAACCTATAATGTGGATATATATATATATTTATATTTATATATGGTTGGAGAATAGAAGTACTCATATATCTTATTTTCAGAAACTAACCTGAATTGTGTACAGGGAAAAAGAGATATACTTTGATACTTAAAGAAAAATTAGATTGTAATTCATAAGTAGAAAGAAACTGTACCAAGAGGAAGATTTGTACTTCTTGCATTATTTTTCCTCCAGCTATGATGGGGGGATCTTTTCGGCCAGGTCATTCTGGAAACGAGCTGCCTGCCTCGTCAGGGTAACCTCCACCTGGGGAAGCGTCATGCCCGCTGCCCAAGAGAGAGGGATGCATGTGCACGGACCCTGTAGACGCATCTTCACGAAACCTGCCAAACTATTTCCAGAATCAGCGGAGTCCCAGAACCTGTGCTCCTGTGGCCCAAAGCAACACTGCTCCCCCCAGCCCAGAAGAGGTTTTGTTGGAGAGTGAGCAACTTACTTAACATACTGGCTTCGTGGGAGCCATTGACTTTGCCATCCGGGTAGATCTGCAGATGGAAGCCAATGCCCACTCTGCAGTACAGGCTGCCGGTCCGGCGCCCCGAAGGGCTCCACTGGAAACTGCTGTGCTCCGGGCTGCTTCCTTGGCTGCCCGGGGAAGCCGCGACTGGGGAGGAGGCAGAAGACGAGGAAGACGTCGTGCTACTTCTGCCCCGGCTGCCACTGGAGTCTCCCGGGTTCCTCGGAGCCGCGGGTTGCCCTTCGGGAGTGAGACGCTTCTCCCCGTGAGCCCAAGCGCTGAGGATCAGGTGGCTGCAGAAGAGGAGGAAGAGCAAGGACAAGCTCATTCTTCCGGCCGCGGGGGTCCTAAGTGCATCTTGCAGGGCTGGCTCCGGGCTCCGTAGCCCCCGCGCTGCTGCGTGCCTCTGGCGCTGCCTCCCTCTCCGCACTGGGTGGACATAGCCTCGGGGAAGGGAGAGGGAGAGGGGGAGAGAGAGAGAGAGAATGAGAGAGAGGCCACCCGAGCGGATCTCGGCGCTGGCACCGGGATATTTATAACGCCAGTGATCTCACTGCTCCGTGCACGCCTGCGAAGCTTCCCCTCACCCGCCGCTTTGTGTACTCACTGGCCGGTGCGGGGAGGGAGCGCCGCGGTCCCGGGGGCGGGGGTGTGAAGGAGGAGGGAGAAGTGATCCCGGGAGTGGGAGGAGGTACCTTGTCCTCAGATGATGCCCCCAGGACGTTGGCTGCGCCCAGGCACCGGTCATGCACCCCAGAGTTCTCAGGAGCCACAGGGTCACCCCACCCCTTGCCCCTGCCAGCCACGCGGGATTCCGCTCCGAGTGCCCAGTTCAGCGCGCAAGGGGCCCGGAGGGACGTGGGCATGGGTTCTCACCCTCAGTGGCCAGGTGTCCCTAGCAATTCACTCTTTACCCAGCACCCGACGTCTAAGTTGGTGGACCCTACGACCTGGAGTCTGGGAACCTCTTTCGGTAGGGAACCAAGATATGATTGGCAGCACAACTCGAAAAGGCTTTGTGGTGGCCCAGGTGGGAGAGAAGGCTGGCTTCCTATTGTTATTGACCTATTAAAGAGCTGAGGTGTGCGATTATTTCTCCTTTCGAAAGCCACCCCGAATGGCTATGCCAGTGCTCAGCTGCTGCTGCCCTGTAACAAACTCTGTAGATGGACCATGTGCCCAGCTTTTCCTTCTAGAAAGCCCTGTGTCTGTGCTGGAACAGGTGAACACCCTTGAGGAAACACACACACACACACACACACACACACACACACACACACACAAGGCAAGGATGAAGTGGGTCCATACCCCAGGACATGTGACTGATTGCCCAGTTGTCCTCTTTGGCCCCATGATCCCTTGCCCAGGGGAATTAGCCGACAGGGCTCTCTTCAACTTCCACAGACTGCAGGACCGACCCCGATGAATGATTAATGACAGGCCTCTGAATCCCAACCCCAGAAACCCGAGAAGGGAGACTTTCCCTGTATGTAATAGCAGGGCTGTTATTTCTCTGAGAAATATACCTGACTTGCATTCCTGGAATATTTCTGTCTGAAAACATATCTGAAACTTTAAACTACACTGTGATATATTGCTCATTGGTGATTTAAGTGAAAAGTCAATGATAGCAGCCAATAAGTTCAATTCAGACGAGTCACACTTGATGTTAAGTTATGACTTCATTCATTCCTGAGTGTCTGCTTGAGATTCCCCATCTTAGTGATGAAAAATTCTAAGACAGATGTAGATTTGTTTTCAGAATCACAAATCTTTTCTGGATACAATCCTGAATAGCAAGGCAGTTTTACAATGGACCGTCAGTCACCTGAACAACACAGGGAAGCCACCCAGGGAAGAAGGGAACATGCAACACAAAGGATTGTGACACCAGGCACAGAACCCCTGCGGAGCTCCAACAGCACACTCTCTGAGCTGACTTCTCTAGTTTTAGGCTCACGCTGCATTTCTCCGGCTTAACTGAGTTGGGAAGAGAGGCCCTCATATCCATTTGTCTCCCCAGTCCCCCACCCCCAAACATGGACATTAAGAACAATCCCAGGTTCCTTCCAAAAGGTCCACTTGAAAAGTCACCTCTTCAGGGTGAATGAATTTCACACGCTGAGATGTTGTGCTAAGCCTTCTGAACAGGAAACCCTTGACCTACATGGTTTGAGCCGCTTTTGGTGTCTCTGTGTGGCATCAGTAAGCCGCCTTGTGTGTTACACAATCCTCTGCCTCTGACTAAACTCACAACATTTTTTTTCAAAGCAAATTCGATTGCTGGTTACCTGCCCTACCCCATCCTGAGGAGTCTATGGAAGGAACAGCTGAGTGACTCAGCCCTCAGATGTCTGATCATCCCCTTTGCTACAGGGTGAGAGAAAGGAAAGGATTCTGGGAGTTTTGTAGAACTAAAATTTAGCATCTTTCTACTTGTTGAGCTGTCTGCCTGAGACAGCCATCTCTGTATTTCTCTTGACCCTGGCAAGAGCCAAGTTGAAGATCAAATCTTCCTCTAAAGGATGAAGGAAAAAGTCCAAGACACCTGCTCAGGCTTTAACCTGCCTCACTTTGAGGTATATGGAAAGATGAACTTTTTCTGGTGTCCAAGGATTTGGGTGGGGCTTACTAAAAGGAAACAAGCCCCCGATGCTGGGGGAAGTGATTAAATCTTGAAAAGCAACCTAACTCTCTTCTCAGAAGGATAAACCATGTGTTTAAAACCAGGTCCCATTGGTGCATGCAAGCAAATAAAGTGATTGCCACTAATTGAATATCTATAATTTAATATTTGTAAAGGATTGGTATTGCACTCATTTAAAAGGGAGGGGGAGGAGCTGCAAAAACTGAGCCAGAGGAACTGAGACAGTGCCTGTCACCTGTCAGTGAGCTGAGTGACCAAACCACCACCCTCTTCCTCTGTAGCTCAGCTAATGATGTACACGCCAGTGCAGAGTGCCTGCCTGCAATGTTTACATCTTTCCTCACGAGTGACCAGCTGGTCTCAGCCAAACCTGGACTCACAGAAAATTCACTGTTGGGGGCAAAAGTTCTCATTTTATTGTCTTGGCTGCTCTGGATTTGTTCCAGTGAACTTATCCCCAAAGTGAGCACAATCCTATACCACATTTTCTTGGGTGGTTTTTTTTCTAAAAGGAGATTACTCTACATCCCCTGCTGGGTAGAGTCCCACAGTTGCTACTGCTCAGGAGCCACTGACCTGGTCACAGTTCCCTGAAAGCCTGTGTCCATCGCCAGCACCATAGTGTTATTCCTACTCTCTCGGAGACGAGAGGCAGGACTTGGAGAAAGCATGTTCTGCTCCTAGCTGTCCGCCTCATAAAGCTAATAGTTCTGATGAGTGGTGTGTATGTGCTTATTACTGTCTAACAGCAATGAAAAGCTCACCAAATTGATTGACCCCCACCAAACATCTAGGCTCCAGGCTTGGGGTGTGCAGTCAGTTTGACCCCATCCCATCATGCTGACCTTCTACCGTCCTGTTTCTTCAGGCTCACCTGCTGTCACTTCATCAACTAAACCTCCCATTTATGAACTAAACCTCCCATTTGGAAGCCCCACCTCCCCAACCTCCCTTTTCCTTGACTACAGCATCTGTGTACCCTTCCAGGCTGCTCCTATTTCTTTGAGGAGAATATCAGCTACATCATTGATTCAGTATCTAGCCCCCATCATCTGGAAGGAAGATGCAATGCCCTACCCTCCGCTTAAACCTCAGAAATCTAAGAAGACAGAAGTTCAGATGAATGCTTCCTGCTTACCCAAGGAGCAGGTTCACAAGCTATGACCTTCTCCTGGTTGTAAGCCAAGTCCTTGCTGAGGCAGGGCTTAAAGGACATCCCTCCTACAGTGCATCACGCTGGGACCAGGAAGAGCAAAGATGTAGACACTGTGTTAGGATCCACCACCCAAGGCAGTGCAAGCCATCCTAGAGGCCCTCCCACCTGGAAGCAGACTCCTGTGCCAGCATCCTGCATAGACCTCTGCCCCAAAGCTTCCCTTGAGCCAAATATCTGCTCCTGGAGATGTAAATGCTTGGTGGGGTTCATCTGTTTGAGGGTCTGTTACTCATAAAGATGAAAGGCAGGGCCTTTCTGTGATATGAGCAAACAATCAGAATGTTTTTGTTTTCTTCCTGGAAAAAAAAAGCTGTGTTAACCCTGGTTATAAAGGGCTCTGCGGTTCCTACCATTCCTGCCCCCTTTTTATACTTAGAGAGGTTATGTCCATATAACAATATACATCATATTTTGCCAACCAGCTTCTTGGGGATGCCATATACATTTTCAAGAAGGCTGCTATGGATTGAATGTGTATGCCACCTCAAAGTTCGCATCGAAACCCTAAGTTCCAGTGTAATGCTATTTGGAGATGGAACTTTGAGAATTAATTGAGCCCTGGAGATGACTTCCTCATGTATTAATGCCCTTATAAGAAGGGACAGGAAAGGTGAGGTTCCATCCCCGCCCCTGTCACCATGTGAGGAAATCAGAGAATCCTCATCAGAGCTTAGCCATAAGGTACATTGATCTCAACCTTCCCAGACTCTGGGAACTGTGGGCATACTTCCCTGTTTTCCAAGCTATCCAGTCTCCCACGTTCTTGTTAAAACAGCTGAAGACAGAAAGCCGCAAGGTTACCTTGTGGAAGGAGTTAGGAGTTGACCTGTGGGGCCCTCAGACCATGCGGTTGCCAGGACCCTCTACTCCCTCCAGGCCTGGCTTCCCACCAGCCAAGCTGGCAGCCATTTCAGCAGCAAATTGCCTATGGCTACAGGAGCAGGCCAAACAGGTTGAGAAGGGTGGGAAGGGCCTTCTGTGTGAAAAGAAAACCAAGAGGAGCACAAGAGGATCAGATCTCTCTGCTTGTCTTCATAGTCATTGGTTGGTTTCCTCTGAAGGAAGACCAGAAGTGGGACATTTGGGACATCAGATGTAAAAAGACCTTCTGTAACCAGAATGAACTCAGTGAAATCAGCTATGACTTTCCCAGTATAGCCCAGTTCCTAGGCTTTTGAACTAACCCAGTGACTGTTCACATTCTAGCTTCTGTACATATTCATGCAGCAAGTTCCCGAAGCACTATAGGATGACAATGGTCTCTGGGCACAAGATTCGACAGTGGGGAAATCACCATGCTAGAAGGACTGACGGTCAGCAGTAGAAGAGAGGTCTGATGTCTATACACGTGGGTAAAGACTCATGGCTTCTGGTTTACCCCCAAGCCCTCCCCAAAACAGAGCCCTACGCAGTCATGTGCCAGGTCCACAGACAACAGCATTGTGTGACAGATTTTATTACCGGCACTATCTACTTCAGATAATCCCACAGAGTACATTGGGAGTACATGGAGAGAATGCATTGTCTCTAGTCTCAACAGGACATTGGGTGGAAAATCACAGGCGTTTCTCACCAGTGATGAAGGAGGAGGAAGAAAATAAGGTCTGCTCTTCAGCTAGGTCTATCTAGCACTCTGAATCATTTATTTATCTCTAGAGAGGCAGGCCTTAAGCAAATGGGCATTTACTCAAGAAAAATGGGGGAAGGCAATAGG